TGCTTCGGGGTCCTTCTTCCGCTTCTTCCGCTTCTTCCTCGCTCCGCGGACGCTCCGCTTCTTCGACGCCTCCCGAGGTCTCCCAGGCGCCCGAGGAAGCCACCTGTGCCGTTCGCGCGGCGTCGGCAGATCGAACGGGCAAGGAGGTCCTTTGGAGGTGGTGTAGAACAGATATAGAGGGGTACCATATTTGGTATATGTCCCTACTTGGTACGGTGTCCTTTTATGGTACTACCTTTTGAAAACAGAATGAGATCGCGCACGTCTCCGCTTCCAATGCTGGACCCTGTGGATGTTCTTCAATATTAGGGGGGTCGGTGTGGGGGTCGGTGTGAAGTGGACCAAGTCGCCTGGTTCCTCGGGGATCCTGGAGGCAACATGGTTCCCCAGCGTCCCGGTCTGTGAATCCTGGAGCGGGTGGGCCTGTGGGCATGACAGTTGCTCTTTTTCCAAACATAAACGACACGTGGGACTGGGACTCTTGACCGATCAGTTGGGGTGGTTAATGTGGAAAAGCGATCAATGCAGGGAACATCTGCCAGTCGCACTGGTCGTGTATGGGATAGGTGAAATGTTGCCTTTTCGGGGCAAAGTGCTGTGCTCCGCTGACAATGCACTGCCGGGAAAACCCCAAACAACCAGAAACAAAATTGATGTTTCCACAAACAACTAGTTCCTAGATGTAAAGCATCTCAAGCAAGCCAGATTAGAACAGCCATTTATTTCTGGTTGTTTGGGGGTTCAGGTGGTTCTCACTGAAAAATTTCTCTGCTATCTACGAGCCTCTCGGGATCCAGCACACCTATATGCTGCGGCAACATATTGCCTGCGGTTTATCCTTGTTTGATCTTCTAGAAGGGCGTCCACAAAGGTGGGTTTCTCCGCCCTATAAAAAAACCTCTCTAGAGAATTGGATCAGCCAAAGCAAGACTTCCCCTTGCTTTTGCGGGTGGATTTCGCCTGCAGACGCTGCTGGGACAGTGATGTCCTCGGTACCGAGATGACCTGCGACGAGATTTAACCCACCAAACAGGCCAGCCAACAGGATGCTATGGCCCCTGCGGTTCGTGCGTGAACCCGCGCCTGGTGAAGACTTCGGTGACGCAGCTGAGTGCGCCTCTTCTCGGGCACCCGAAGCCACCGGGACGTTCGGGCTTGGCCGGAGACCCGTTTTTTGGAGAAAAAAAAACATGTCCAGCCTGTCCAGTAGGGCCAGGGATGCGAGCTTCATGGAGGTCATGTATGTGCGTTGGTGCGTGTCACATCCACAGCCGGCCCCCGACGGATAGGACGACGACGACGACTAAACACCACCCGAACTGCATGCGACTCCTGGGTGATGCCGGTAATGGAAGGTAATGGAGAACCAGCTAAACCCTAGGCTTCCAACAACCATTAATTCAATAGGCTTTACCGGCCTTACCGAATCAACTATGGATTTTACACTACAAAAACCACGTCAACCATGTTTCAATGGTCTTGGAAGCCTAGGCTAAAGACATCACCAAGCAACATCCAATCTCTCCGATCCGGGGAAAAATGCCCACGGGTCCAGATTCCGGAGAATTCGATGCCGTTTTCGTTACTTGGTTGCTTGAACGACTGAGGGTCTCCCCTCTATTTGGCTGTAGGGAACCAGGCACCTCCCCAACAAAACGATGGTTTCAGTTGACCTCCCTTCACAGACGAGGAATCTGTTCATTTGATCCGGGGTCAACCGCCCTCCGGGTCGTGCAGTCCACTGCCATGACCCAGCAACCAATCAAGAGCCGGGCTGGTCGACCATCTATGTCTGTTAGTGGGAAAGGTGCCATGAAAGGTGGTGTCGTGGAAAACACGACGAACAAAGGCGCTTCTCTTGCTCCCCCCCAACGATTTCTCAGCAAAAAGCCACGACGACCTGAGCTGACGGCTTTTCCATGTGGTGGTGGAACACATGCACGACTTGAGCTGATGATCACTGACCAACCATGTGGGAGTCAGGCCATCAGCTCCCTTCAGGGCCATGAGACATCATGACACCTGGAGAACATCAACACCAGATTCCTGGCCGATTCGGCCCCGAATCCCCGGACCGGACGGAAACGCGCGGAACGCGAGGTTTGAAGGATGCGAGGTTTGCACAAAGCTATGGTTCCTGGGAGTCGGGATCCAGCATACAAAAGAATGGTCTGACGATATAGATGACCCGAAATGGAATGTCCTTGACTTCAGTCGGTCAACATCTCGTCGAACTGGATGTTTAGGGTATTTGGCATGGGATCAGAGTCACAGGTTCGCCTGTAGTGGAGGCCACCAAGACACTAACAACCAGCCTGTCATAATCCAACCATGACCAACATAGAACTTTAGCAGTTGATCTACGCCGATACCAGCCTGTTTCAAATCATCTTGACAGTCACAACTTGGGGACGACCAAAAACCTACGCCACATGGAACCCGAAAACCTACCTTGGTTGTAGAGGAATTCCTCGTCTTCCAGTCAGGTCCATGGCATCAGGTTCCATGTTCGGTTTCCACCACAGTGTAAAAGGAGTTCATCGGTACCAACTCGGCCATTGAGTAAAATGGCCAACTCCGTAACATAGAGGTTGACAATGGCCCCTTTGCAAAAAGGACGGAACCCTTGAACAAACAGGTGGCTTCCACTTCCATGTCGGAATGTAAACTGACCCAGCATAAGGAATATCCAAAAATGTTCAAACGATTTGTTATGTCCAAAAAACGACCTGCTCATGTTGTCGATGCCAGCAACTTAACAGAACATCACTGACATCATGATGACATCATGATGACATCATGATGACATCATGTGCAATCTACCTTGGAATTGCCCACTACACCTAGACCGCCCTGACTGCCTGTCGGTATAAACCTCCAGAGAAATACGACACTCTAATATACATTAAAGCCAAAAACCAAATCAACGAATAGATTTGATTAGACATCAATCATTCACAAAACAACTTGAAAAACACACACACAAATAACACAGAACAAGAACCAACGACCTGTAACAAGAACCAACGACCTGTGAAAAAAGATTGGAATACCTACCATTGCTCCACCACCTTTCCCAGCCTTTGAAGCGTTCAGAATTCCCAGCTCCACAGCTTCGACGGGGCTTGAAAGCACTTGCAGCAGGCCACCTGAGCACCGCGCGGGGGGGGCGGAACGACGGACCGTGCGGCGGACCAAAGCCGCCGCGCCGGCGAGGGAGAGGAAGGAAGATCCCCCAGATTGAGAGGGGGAAGATCGAACACTGTGGAGCGAAGTGTTCGAAACAAAAGAAAGACATGTATTATACATGCCGGGGAGACCGGCACAAGGATTGGCGGTCGAGGTCCCGGCTTCTTCGAGCCCAGTGAAACGGTTCCGCTGTTCGTGGATCTTCTTTTGGGGGCAAAGACTTTTGCCCAACACCCTAGAAGTCCAGTTCGACTATATTTTAACCGACTGAAGTAAAGGAAACTCCTTTTCGGGTCATGTAAAGACAATTCTTTTATAGTCTGACCGACTCCCAGGGCAACAGCTGAAAGCTTCGGTCTATGAGTCTCAGTCTAAGCCAAAGATCGCCAAAGATCGCTCTCATGTAGATCCGCGCGCGTTCTCAGCCGATCACGTCTGGGCTTTGATCAAGTCTCGCGGAGCTGGAAACGTCTGAGTTCCTGGCTATCATCCTCACAGCCTGTGCTGTGGCCGAGCGTCACCAGCAGCAAACCTGAGTCAAGGAAATCTTGCGAATCACTCAGAACAACCTAAGTCATGTTCGAAGAAAAGGTCTTGGCCTGGGGGGGGAGCTTGAAATGTCATGAACCTCGTTGATTTCACGGTTTTCAGACCACCACTTCCCTTTCGCTCAAAAACATCCAAAAAACGCGCCCACCAAACGCCTTTCGCCTCAGGGCCCGGACACACCCATGGCCTCAAGGGCGCAGCGCCCAGCGCCCAGCGCATGGCGCCGCACCGCGGGACGCCGAGTGGAGTCGAAGACGGTCGTGTTGGGTGAGTCGGTTGAAGAAGAATGTGTCTTTGGGGGGAAACAATTAAGAATAAGAGGATCCGGTGGAACAAGAACAAGATGCGACGTGTCTTTTCTGATGTTTGTGGGAATATGGGCTGAGGAGTCGAAGAAGGGCGGAGGAATCGAATGTATGTGGGGAGTGTCGAGGCCAGCTTCCAGGTCGGTTGGGTGAAAAAGAATATATATGCGTGCGCTGTCGGACCCGTGGTGCTTCAAAAGTTCTGTCATCTCCTGGCTTGTCTAGTTGGGCCGTTTTCAAAAGCACATGAAGCGGTTCAGTGGTCTGAGCCGATTTCGCAGCAAAGAAGGCACGGACAATGGCCGGCCAAATCCATTGCAGCAATGCAAAACAAATTCGCGATGCCTGAGGTGCTTCAGGGTGCCTTCAAAAATAGACCTTTTGGTGGTGCAGCCCATCAGGACAAGCTGTCCATCAACTTGTTCATCTCCTTCCCAGGAGATCCTCGGCCGTTAGGACCACATTTTGGTTTCAAAACAAGGGGGCTCATGCAGGTGATTTGAATGACGAGTTGCTCAACATGTCTAAATTCCAACGGATCCACCTCATAGGTTCCATATTTGTTGGGGGATCAAGATTCTCAACATCTGTTGGTGGGATACCACCCAAACACCAAAGACCTAGTGTACCCAGCGACCTGGCAACCACCACCAGCCCAAAATCGAGACAAATCAAGAATTCTTTTTCTGACTCCCTTTTCTTTCCGTGAGCAAGACAGGTGAACCAAATATTCTACCTGTTCTTGTTGCGTGGGGTGCCCCCCAACCCCAACCAATCCCCAAAGAAAGGTTTTTGCAGGTGATCCACATACTTTTTGGGTAGGTCACCTGTCTCAGGTGTGTATATTTCATCTGTTGTGATCTGCCAGCCTGGTGTTCGTTCAGAACAGCTCCCCTGTTGGAGACGGGAGGTCTTCTTCAGAACAAACCCCTTGGTTCCCTCTTTCCCCAACTCCGCCTCCAGCGTGGCCAGGGCCGCACCATGGGCGGCCAACAGCCTCTGGTGCGCCTGGTCGAAATCAGCGAGTGCATGCCAAGCTGTGTGGTTGGCGCCGGCTGGACCAGGGACGGTGGGTATTGGAATATGATGGTCAGAACAAGTTGATAATTGAAGCGACGTCACATGTTTTCGAAGTGCCTTTGGGTGCAGATCGACGCAGGTAGTATTTTGGGATACCCTTACCAAAAACATGTCCCAAATAGCAGGTTTCTTTCGCAGTGTGCCCCTACCAAATCGCACTTGTTAGGCCAGTGACAACCATCTGGACCATTTCTGGAGGTCTGGTGTCATCAATCTTGCTGCTCCATCCTATGCGCAACAGGATAGAGAGCAGAACGTCCAAGCCAAGAAGCAAGCAGCCAGAAGATACCAAAAGGAAAAGAAACATAATATGAAGAGAATCGGAAGCGAGAGAATATGAAGCTTTAAGTGAAGAAAAGAAACGAAGAATCTCGCAGCCAGAAACGTTTTGCATCCTTGTTCGCAAGTTGAGAGTCCAGGCTGTGGTGTCTTGTGCCCTTTTCGGGCACACGCTCCCTCAAATTCATATAGGTGCCTTTCGGTGCACTTGCTCTTGCAAACACACGTAGTTGCTGCGCGTCATCTGTTTGTGATAAGTCGCGCGAAGTTTGTTGAACTCTTTGGTGCTGCGCGCCTTTCTCTATCAACGGAGGATTGACATTCAAAGCTCGGCTCGTTGGCCGGTCAGCCATGTGCAAAGCGATTTAAGGGGACGCCCACCAGCGGGCCAGCAGGCCAGCCATCAGACGTTGTGTGTTGTTGTTGTTGGTGTTGTGGTCGTTGGTGTGGTCGTTGGTGTTGGTGTTGGTTGTTGGTTGTTGGTCGTTGGTGTTGGCGGCTAGGTTAGGCAATTTTGGGGTTGGGCCTATGTTGAGTCTTTCTTCCTCTGACTCGTTTTCTTCCTGTTCCTCTTTGTCTTCCTTTTCCTTTTTTCTGGAAGATGAAAAGAAAATAAGAAGAGCAATCCAAGCACACAAAGTGCTAATAATGCAAGGCAACTCGGGCAGCATATCTCGCACCACGTTTCCTTGAATACAGCTATGTTCATGCTATCTGGGCACCACCTTTTTTGGTGATCCATCTAACCTCACTGCGACAAATTTCGACAAAAATACATCTGTCAACACTCTGCCCAGTGGCCTGCGAGGTTCTAAGCAGAGGGATTGCCAGGAAAGCTAATGTATATGATGCATTCCAGCCCGGTGCATCATTTGCATTGTAGACCATGTCTCACTGTCGCGTCTGCGGATGCAGAAGCCGCTGGCGCACTGTCGACATGGACCATGTAGCGCACAGCCCCCTCGACCTTGCGTTAGGCATTCGGCGATCCAACACGCTGATCGTCCGCTGACCGCACCCCTCCAGCGAGCCCGCAAGGCATGACCACACCCAGCTCATGCGCTGCGCGACGCGCATCTTCCTCCTTCAAGGTCTTCTGCGGTCCACGAGCCGATTGTACCATACGTCGCCGCGAGGCATTACGACTTCCACATGTCCATGATCCTCCCGAAAACTCCTTCCGAAAGGTATTCTGCCATCTGCACTGCCACCAATCCGCTTATCCTTTTGGAATAGAAGAAACCCAAGAATCAGAAAGGCGTTTGGAAACAAAAGCGGGCGTACTAAAAATGAGGAAAACGCCCATCCGACTGCGAGTCTCACACAGATCATCATCCATGGAAAGTGGCAGGAAGTCACAAAGTCTCACACGTTTTGAGTTGTGGGGTGAAAGGAAACATTCGTACTTGCCTCATTGTTTTGAGGCTCCCGCAGAGGTGACTGCTACGACTGGAAAATGTATATAATATGTTGCTGCTCATATACCGTCCAACATGGCATGCTTGTGGGCATTGGATAAGTGTACAGCTTCCTCTACTAAGGGAGCATATTGTTTGTAGATTCCTCTACTAAGGGACCCATCTCAGGTGCCACTCCACCTTCCCTTCTTGAAAAATATTGAAAAAAAAAAACTCGTGCTGGTCGTCTCCTGGTAACCTGACCCAAGATTAAAGCCCGTCCAGATTCCACTATTCCACTAACACGAGAAAGAAAGCACCAAACAAGCCACCCTAAATCATAAAACAATGCATCAGTACAAACCCTACCTTCAAGGCAGTGCATCTATGACGTCCGTAAAATCCAGCTTTTCACCCGAAAAAACCGCCAAAAAACAAAACACACGCCGCCACGAAGGGTCAGGGTCGGTGGCTTCGGCTTTGCCTCGTGTAGCGCGGTCTCAAAGGGAGGACCTGTAGCGCGGTCTTCATCGGATCGTCCGAATGGCGGCTTTGGGTGATCGCCAAACGTGAACCGTGAACCGTGTGATGCTTTTGTTCATGCTGATCATGGAAGAACCAAAAAAAAAGGTGTGTGAATAAAGAATGTGGTGGGGAAGGAAAAAGAACATGTCCAGTGCAAACTCTGGCCTTTCGAATATTATAGGCACCCCAACCGCCCAACTGCCTGGCTCCAGGTCACCTCACCCCCCCCGGTCGCTAGCTCCCGACCTCCATGCTCCGCCGCCATAGGCCTACACGGCGTCACACGGTCCACAAGGGTTCGGATCCTTTTTCAGGATTCTCCCACAGAACTGGTGCTGTTGTCATCCTTTTTCCTCTGCCTTTGCCGAAACAGGCCATTGCGCCAGATCAGATCTGGAAGATCCACGTTTCCCAGAACTTCCAGCCATTTGGACTCCGAAACCCCACAACTGAGACCGAAGTCGATTTGACTCGTTCTCCGTTCTCCGTTCTCCACGTTTGGGTTTTCGTCCTTTGGCGTCGACTCCGGGTCTCGCCAGAGGTAGGTGAAAAGTGACCGGTTTCATAGGACCCGGAAAACCTGGGGTACCCAACTGAGATAGTCATAGTCGAACAGTCAAATTCATTCAAATTCTGACCCACCTTTGTTGGAAGCCTCAAGTCCAAGCCACACACGCGCCCCCTCAACCACCGCCACGCGTGCCTGATGGCGTCGGCGTCAGCGGCGCCACGCAAAACCGCGCGATGGGCGGCAAAGCGAAGCGCTTCGCTCGCTCGCTCGCGTAGCGCGACGGTGAAGAGTACCAGCAGACGATGTCCAAAATGGATGTGTTCGTAGTAGAACCACCTTGTAAAGGATCTCAAGGTGTTTTCTTATGCTGTCGCCATTTTGGAACAAGCATTGTGCACCAAGAGTGGTTTCCCTTAAACCCGAACAAAGACATGATAATGATAAATGCTCGTCGAAAGGAAACAAACAGCCGAAGGGTTTTGGGGGTGAGCATGAATGAATTGATTATATTCGAGTCTTGCCTTTTCTTGGCAAGTCTCCATGCACGTGATCCCTGGTTTCCTGCGAGTTTCCAGGCACATGACAATACATGTCTTTGATCATCGTTGAACCACAAATCCATGTTCCTTCTGCGTTGCTGCACGCTGCTGCATGTGTTGCCTCTGGCGCGAGCAAGAGTGCCAAAAGCCACAGACAGCACCATGGGAGATCGATGGGCCGAATATTCATTTCTTTATGTTGTTTCTTACATGGTTCAGTTCATTTTCAGGGACCGCCACATTCCCCGCAGACCGCCCGTTTGAACATCGTTTCAGACAAGCCACAAGTCATTCCTGGCCATCAAGTGTAAAGTTTTCAAGTGTGGGTCGTCGCATGTCTCTTGTGATGTTCATGCCAACATCACAGCACGTTGAAGTGTGGGGCGCCAAGTGAGACCTGCATGGGTGCACTTCAGAACTAGAGGGTCTGGTTTCATGATCCATCCGTCTTACTTGGACGTGAACACCTCATTGATTTGGTCTCAAGCCCGTATGCGCACGATCAGTCGTATAGGTCGTCTTTTTCACGGAATGCAAATCTGGAAGCTGAGGATCAGTATGGCCGCTTGCCTGGCATGAAAGGCAAGCAGTGCCTTTCGTTTAAGGCTGGGGGGGGGAAACGTGGATAGGGTCTGCAGTCTGCCAAACAACCATTGCTTTGCCCAGACGCTCCAAACAGCCCTTGGTCCCTCAAAACCATAGGGATTTGCCCCTGCATATGAGGGTTCAGGAGCGTGTGGGTGATAAGGATTTTGCACAACAGTCTGCCAGGTCTTTCCCATTTGGTTCCTCGTTAAGGAGCCCGGCGAATGAAGGAGTCCGGCGATAACCGAGTGCTCATCCTGACAGGTCCGGTGAGTCCTCACCCTCAGTCCTCACCCTGAGTCCTCACCCCCCCGTGTTTAAATCCCAAAAACGACCTGCCTGGGACTGCCATGTCGGACTGCCGAGAAACGGCCAGGGGTGGTTGAATGGGGGGGTCTGGCTTGATCGGCAGTCCGGCAGTCCCAGGCAGGTCGTGTCTGGTTTAATGTTTAATGTTTAAACATGTTTGACACGACCCTGCCCTCAGTCCTCACCCCCCCCCCTTGGCCCCAACCGGTGCCCCCCCAAACCTAGCTGATTCTTGCGATCGACGATGAAGGCGATCTCGTTGCGAGGACCGGGCTCCAACTGCGCCTCAGCTCGGAGCCCGACGCGCAGGCGCGGGCGAGCGGGCGGAAGTTTTCGGGAGAAAGCCGGTGAGGGACCCCTGCCAAGGTCCGATGATGCGGTTCCCACGACCAGTCTGGGACTGACACGTCGGACGACCCAGAAAACGGCCGTCGGGGTGGTGATGTCAGGGGGTCTGGCTTGATCGGTCAAGATGCCAGTCCCATGTGTCTGGTGTTGTCTTTTTGGTGTCAACGTGAAAGTTCCGGGGAGGTTTTTCTCCTTTTGGTCGGAAGCGAGGATGCCGCCACAACCAGCAGCAACATCCAGCGGCGGATGTTTTTCTCCTTCGATGTCTTCAGGATGTCTTCAGGGTTTCCACCCTGAGACCCCCACCTCGTCTGCACTCACTTGGGCGACTTTCGGTGAACTTTCGGTGTATCATGGTGTATCAATCCGATGAGGGGCCCAGTGGTGGAGGATGGTGAGTCAGGGGTCTTTTCTCTAAAATGCCGTCTGGCCTCAACTAGTGATCAGTGTCCTGGGACACCCCTTCGGAATCCGACCGCTCCGACGTCGGGGCTTGGGATGTCGCCACCCGGTTTCCTGACCGCCCCGGAGTGGCCAATCGGATTGAAGGGGAAGAGGGCGGAAAGAAGAAAGACAGGTACCACGACAGAGGTTTTGCACATTTCTGAAGCTGCCCGTGCAACAGAACTACGAGCTTTCACCATTCGGCTTTCGCTCTGATGGCTTTGGACCAGGCAAACATGTCTTGCTCTGGTGGCCCTGGTGGCCCTGGCGGCTTGGGCTTAGGGAGAAATTGAACACCTGCCGCCCTAGATACTTACGGTGTTGAAGTGTTGCCAAATGACTTGAGGATGTTGTACTGTACTTTAGATGGGCCACAAAGGAAGCGAGTGGATTCGCTTGTCCAAGTACATTCACTTCGATTCACCAGCAAGGATTCACCAGCATGGTTTGCACACGCCAAACAATGCCATGGTCAACACAACAAGGCACCTGCTACCACCGCGATTGCACACACCAGGCACCTGCGGCGGCCCTCCCGAGCCAACCAAGCCAGCCCATTCTGGAGAAACAGATCACGGCCCAACGACCCCTCCACCACTGCCAGAAAAACAGGAAAAAATGTGCAGACACTGGACTATGAAATGGCTGTGGGTTAAAACCAGGAGACCAGAGTGGTTGACCTAGTAGCTGATGTCGGTCGTTCGCTACATGGTTCCAGGCTTTTTGATCCGTCCCCAAATGAAATCTCTTCGGCATCTTCGTTGGTGGGGCATGGACGGCCAGCGAACGAACCCCGAACATGGAGATGTGCCCCAGGCTCGTCTCCGGGCGCCCCAGCTGCACGGATGCAGTCAGTCATCTCATGAGTGGTGGCGCTGGACCTGGGCGCCAAAGTCGGCAGCGGAAAGAGGACACAAGTCACCACACACGACTAATGGGACTGGTATATTGACCTGGATTGACCCCTGAAACACCCCCAACTGATCGGTCAATATGCCGATGAAGTGTCTGGGAAAAAGAATCTGAATCAGGAATGGAATTTGTCTCATGACCCTCCAGCAAACGAGCCCATGGAACCTCAGAATTGACCGGTTTCCACCATGTTCCGCAGACCAACCAGGCGTGGTTTGGGGAACCCCCATGTGGTCCTCTGGGGAGTACCTTGAGAGTCCAATATCATCACCCGATTTTACCCATACTACTCGTGGTGATAAAGATTACGGCTTCCAGGTGGAGTTTCTAATGACCCATTGGAAGTTCTAAGTTACATCATTTACTATGTTTTACCCCACTGAAACTCAAATTTAGACCCTGAAAACCACTGGTGCAGCTAGAGGAAAACAGTTTTCGAGGGTGCCATTCGACCCGGGTCCATGTGAGTTTTCGGGAGTGTATTTAGTTTCTTAAAGATCAGGATGCTAGGAGCACGATCCCCTGAGCCGTACAGTAACATCTGGGGACGTGAAAAATCACAGTTATTGTCACAGTCATAATCCCAGATCAAGCCATCAAGCCAATGCGTCTGGGACTGAGGCTGTCATCTGACCAGCCAATCCACTATTGTCACAGTGGCTGTCGCAGTTCAAGCGCAAACAGTACGACACGACCTGCCTGGGACTGGCATATTGACCGATCAAGCCAGACCCCTGACATCACCACCCTGGTGTGTAGGTAAATATATATATATATATATCAGTCCCATGGAGTGTCTGGGGACACAAGTGTCACAGTGCCGGGACCTGAACATGTTCCAAGATCGTCGCCATTCACACATCCCGAGGCAGACGCGATTTTGCCAAGTCATGGTGAGTCTGTCTGCTCTGGCCATTGCTGGTGTAGTCACTATGCAGTCGCCATTCCCCGAGGACTAACAAGCTGAATAGCTGGGGTGGCCGATCCAGGAAGCTCCAAGAAGCTCCAGTCAGGCATGAATAAGGTCCAATCAAGAACTGCACAGCTGTTTGTTGCTGAACACCTCTCAAAAACGTCGACTTGTCGCTTTGCTTTTGGTTGGATCATCGAATCAGCACGCCAACAACCCACAACCTGCAGGCGATGTCAATCAGCAGATGTGCTTTGAAAATCTGTGAAAATAAGCTGAATGGCTTGCTCTTGCTCATCTAAGTGCAGCTACAGTCTACAGCAATTATGTGAGTACGCAACACCCTGCAAATGCACCACTTCAGAAGAATATCCTCTTATCACTCTTTTGAAGTGCGGACGGTGCCATCATGGCTCATTGCAGACCATCACCATCTGGTTGGTCGGCTCCTTCATCTGCTCCAGCGCCTCTATGCCATCTCAATCATCGACAACCACCAGAGCAACTGCGCCACTCACACGGGCTGAGGGTGGTAGAAGGCTAGGCACATCGTCAGGCGTTGGGTCCCCACATGGTGCGGGGAGGCAGCAGGCCGGCGTGCCACAGGCCCTCAATCCTGCATCCAACTCATAGAGCTCAGAAGATGTTCCCTGGGACGCGCCAAGGCCTTACGGCCTTACCTTGAACACAGTTTGGTCTTACTCTTTGGCAGAACGAGTCTGTACCCCCGGAGAAAAGAATAAACACCACCATGTCATGGTCATGATGAAGGGCCTTCAAGGGCCTTCGGGGATTTGAGGCGATGGTGGGCCATCCAACCACTTGCTCTGAACAAGGCGATGGTTGGAACCGTTGGAACCTCGGAACCTCCCTGCCTTCCGGTAAAGCTGGGCATCCGTGTCGGTTCACGGAAAAAAAAGACCACGGAAAGCCGGAGGTCGCGTGGTGGGAATCGTGCTATTCCATGCTTTCCGGAGCTGGAGGAGTCTTTCACCCAACATCTGGAGACGTCCACGACCTACGCCGAGCGACTCATGACCTACTCGGAAGCACCTCGCACCTGACGCACCCACTGGCCTGGCCCTACTCGTTGGACGAAAGAACTGGTGGTCCAAACACCGAGGTCTCCTTCTGTTGTGTGATTGGTTTGCACAACTGCAGACGAACTCACTCACGGAACTCACGGAGTGTGGCAGTCCCGCGGAAACTCTTGGAACGATATATGACGTCATTGAACCAGACACTCCATGTATGCCATATATGCTTACATTGGGGTGGTTTGAGGGGTCAATGTAGGCATATATGGCATACATGGAGTGTCTGGGATTGAACCAGGAGTCACGTTCGACGGGGTGGTGTGAAACGTCCCCTTACGTGAGTGGATGTGACAGGGGCACCCCGAACCTCCATGGATCGCACCCCGTCTTGTGACGTCATGGAACAGGAATTGGCATCCCCAGATTAGAACCTATAGGCACTACACTCACGTACAAGTGAGGTGAGAGAAATCCTGGCTTCTGTGCCGAAGCCTGGATTGGTGAAGATGGTCTTAGATAATTCTGGATCGGGATGTGACTGCTGAAGACCTCTGATGTGACCGCAGCTGCTCCAACAGTCCTTCATCAATCAGCTCACCTGGCCATCAAAGTTGGCTGGGAGTTATTCCTCTTTGCCACCTGGCTGGTGTCGAACATCTGACAAAATCGTCAGACTTCATAATATTAACCAAAACACCAAAAAAACACACACACGCCGCTGGTCTTTTGTTTGTGGTTCTCACCTACCCCACAGCGCACCAGATATCAATCCACCGCCGCAACAAAACCAACGCGTAGAACCCACACCACGCGACGGACCGTCCGCGCTCGGGCTCCCAGGCGGCATGTCCACGGTGCAGACCAACAACTTGGGGCTTTCCAAGCGAATGGTGCGGCACACCGCCCAGACCTCGGATCCGTCGGATCCAATCCGCCATCCGGTGATGGTATCTCACACGTTCTCACCATGCAACACCTGGTTCTGAAAAACCTTATTTTTCGTGTGGTATTTGGACCTGAACCTATGGTATTTCAGGTAGGACCAAATACCATTTCAGGTCCAAATACCATTTCACCCGCAAAAAGAAATGGTATTTGGACCATCAACCCCCCCGTCTTCTCTATCCGCCTCTGACCTTTTCTCTGGTCTTCAAACCTAGCATTTCATCTAGCATATATCTTCTGACATCCTTTCCGGCATTATATCTGGCATATCTTCTGAGATTCAAACCGGTACATCTTCTGGCATTCTTTCTGGCATTCTACCTGGCTATCTTCTGGCATCGTTTCTGGCATTCTATCTGGCATGTCTTCTGGCATTCAAGCTGGCATATATCTTCCGACACCTCATTTCTGGCATCTATTTGGCATTCTATCTGGCATATCATCTTTGGCACATGTTCTAACATCCGTTCTGTCATTCAATATCTTCCGACACCTCATTTCTGGCATATGTTTGGCATTCTATCTAGCATATCTTATTCTACCTGGCACACTTTCTAGGATTCTATCTGGCATATCGCAGAATTTCTGACATATCTGCTGGCATTCTACCTGGCATATCTTCTGATCCCGGCATTCCATCTGGGTGACTCCAAAAAAAGGACTTCGAGTACCTGGTTCCACCACCAGCCGCTCGCCGTTCGCGCCGCTTCGCTCCCAGTCACTGTGGTTCCTAAAGCGCCCGTGAACTGCGACGCGGCCATCTCTCCGGTGTGCCGGGCCATGACACCCTTCGTCATCACCTGAGGCGGTTGGACGAGGCGGGGAGGATGGGCGGAGGCGGAAGCGGAAGAGCACCGTGATAGCTCGCTTGGCGGAAGCGGAAGAGGCGGGGAGAAGGGGGGAAGGAGAGCAGTCAGGGAAGGTCGTTGGGTTTTGCGACCAGGATGAATGAGGGCGTACAGTCATTTGTGAGGCGACCAGGATGAATGTGGGGTTCGGGAGAAGTTTTGGGTATGTGTCTTTCTTGGCCGGCTTTTTCGTCCTCAAGAGAATGGAGACCGCCTACAAGCTCTTTCAGGAGCTTTTTCTGTTTTGGATGGAAAGAAGTGATGCAGTGAATGGATATCGCCCTGGGCGTTCTTCCTTGTCGTCCGCCCTCAGTCGAGCAGATATACGGAGGGTAGGGCACAAAAAAGACGAATGAGAAAATATCGAAAACGGACGATCAATCAGAACATTGATGAATATTATGCTGTATATTAATATACCTTATCTCTGACCGGCAGCGAGTTCGCAGCGTACCGTACACAGCATAGCAGTCAGAGCTGCGCGGTCACCTGAAAAGCCTGGACCTTCTCCTTCGTCCGACCTTCTTCACCGATCTCAGCACCTCAGCCCGAGTCGCCAGGAAAGCGACCCGGTCCGGGATATTCTTCAAGTCGTCCACAAACTTCAAGAGCTCAAAGAGATACCTCGGCGGCACATGCGTTCGGTGCGCGTGGTTTGGACCCCCGTTCGCGTGGTTTGAACGCCCCAAGGCAGGAGTCTTTTCTTGATGCTTGTCGTCGGTATGGTTTTGGTTTTGGTGCGTGCTTGCATGGTGGTCAGCGCTGATGTTTGACGATGTGAGGCTTTCTTTGTGATGTTCGATTTGGTGGTGATTTGTCTTTACTTGTCTGTCGTGTGGGGATCTTATATACACTCCCGGAAACTAACATGGAATCGGAGAGCGGCACCCTGAAAGATTGCTTTTAAGCGATAGTGGTTTTCAGGAACCCTTTGTCTGCAGCGGTTCCTAGCCGTGGTGTACTACTCATTGAGTTAGAGACGGGGTCATGGAGAAGGTTTCAGGAACTTTCTGGACTCTCTTCCCACCGTTTTTCGTTTTTTTTTAGACCCCAGGGGTCCAATGGGACTCTCCTTTGGGGACTCTCTACCTTTTAGACTCTGCTCGACTCTAAAAGAAGAGCTTGGGACCCAGGGTCAGACCTTGGACCCCCGTGGTGTGTAAGAACTCCCACTCCTCTAAGAACCCCATGCTTGTCCGGAGGAAAAGCCTAAACTGCGTGAGCGCCAAAGTTCGACTGCTGACCCACTGGTGCGTTGACCCGGAACCTTCGACGAGTCAGAGGCTCCGTGGTCCAAGGACGAAGGTCTTCCGCTGTGACACGTCGGCCGAGTGTGTCACGTCCGGGGCCGTTGGACGAGTCAGAAGCCACCGAGGAAGGTTCGGGAAGCGCACCCGAGGTGGACCAGGCATCTGGGAGGATCCTTTTGGGTGTATGAATATAGACTAGCACCGACGGCCAACAGGTCACCAAGCTGCAGACCTGTGACAGGGCCTAACAGGCCTTTCCCAATCCTCCATGTTCGGAGACCTGTTGGAAGGTGCTGGTATAAAGATGTTCTTTTTTGGGGGGGGACAACGAGACGGAACCGACCTCTTTGGTTTTCACCCGTGGAGCTCGCTCCAAGAAAGCTCCATTTGGGGCCCAGAAACAAATACCGAAGGGGAACACCACTGGGACCACTGGGAGTCGAGGACTGAAAGACTGAAAGACTCTTCCAACATCAGGGGTCGGTCCTTTTTCGTTTGAGAGTCGAGTCGACGTTTTTCGTTTTTGTTGGAGCGATTTGGAGGATCGGTCAAGAACTGATTGAAGAACTTCTTGACCTGGGGTGACTCTCTCCAGAATCAACAAGGAAGCCCTCTTTCAACGTGGCCCGTGGTCCATTTTTTTCTGATCAAAAGGGTGAACACTTTCGTGGGGAAAAGCAGCGCACACATGGGAAAGCCTACACTCCCCATCTTGCAGGACAAAAGGTACTACACTCCCCAATACAATGTAAAACACCCTGGAAGATCTACACATGTTGCTAAGATCACAAAAGGTACTACACTCCCCAATACAATGTAAAACACCCTGGAAGATCTACACATGTTGCTAAGATCAACCTGGCTACCTGGAATAAGCTTCTCACACACACACACACATGAACAAGCCCGTCCCTCCAGTCTGAATCTAAATGCTCCTTCTGGATTTCATCATCATGAAACTGGCTTTCTAGGAAAACCACTCTCAACAACTCGCGCCGCCAACCACCCTCCCGGCAACGCTCCGAGCAAAAAAAGTGGGTGTCCCTGGCATCATATAGGTCATCTGCGTCAACGGCAACGACCAAACCTGAGAAGAAAAACAAGCAGGTAAGAGACGTGGAAGTCCAACTGGACCAACCATGGACGAAACCACCACACCTGCTGTGCATGGTGTGGAAGACCCCTTTGACTTCGATCATGCTCCACGTTCTAGAGGTATTCGCAAACCTCTTCAACACTCCCTGCAGCCACGTAACCCTCATTCCAGGGAGTATACCTTAAACCCCATCCCAATGACCCATGCCATGTGGTCGAAGTTCTCTTCGTCTAACGCCCCATCGGGACTCGAGGCCAGAGGTTAAAATGTCTTTCGCCCGTGTCAGGCACGCCTCGTGACTGAAGCCTCATTGGGTCCATAGAGCTTGTTCTTCCAAAATCCCCCCACCGCTCATGGACCCTGCTAAGTAGGGGCCGTACCCTCATATGGAGGGGTCCGGACCCTCAAATCCCTATGATTTTGAGGGACCAAGGGCTGTTTGGAGCGTCTGGGCACTGAAGAATTCCACTTGAGCCGTCGAAAAGACCGCGAAACCACGATCTTCCGAGCCAAAACTGGCCCTGGGAGACCACCGAACAATGAGAACTGGCCCTGTGCAGACATGGACCTACTACGGTTTTTGGAGCTCCATGTTGACGATCCTTTTGACCGCAGCCACATGCAGAGTCAAACCGCACTTTGGCCCCGAAGTCGAAGAAACCGGGCATCCATTGGATCGAAGATGGCAACGCTGTGGCCCGGAGTGGATTTTGTCAATCAAGAGTCTATAGATATGTCTAGATGGCCCCCCCAAAGTGAAGGTGCGATGGCCGTGATTGGGCTGTCCTCAACGTCACGTTGAAAAAGTGCCACTAATGTAGGATCTTGATGGCATTTCAAGGCTATGACCCGGGGTGGTTCTATGAATCAAGTAGCCAAAAGTGCACAAAGAATAGTCCCTCAAACAACCCAGCCAGTCCACATGTTCCTCTGGCTACTGCTAAACAAGCTACAAAAAACAAACACGGTCCTGGTTTCAGAGCAACAACCGCCGCCGCTTCGTCTTGTCTTGTTCAGCGCGGCAAAAAACAAGAATCGTATGGAAGAAGCGGCCTAGTGGCAATGCAGTTGGTCGCTTGAGTGAACAAGGAGTTGCTGCTGAGGTTGATCTTCGTATCCTTAGGCCTCGTTGGCGCATGGTCGACCGCACGGTGCCGGGAGGGCATAAAGGGGTCCGTCAAGGGCGTGCGCCGCAAGGGCTCTGGTGTGAAGCAAAAACCTTTGGAATTGAAAGACGCGCGAAAGAAACAGCATGTTGGAAGAAAAACGCCAGAAAAATCGTGGAAGAGGGTGCGCAAAGATAGAAGATAGACTTTGGGGATGGTCCAGCAACTTGGAAACCTTCATTCGGAGCCCCAACAAAAATGGAGAGAAAAACCAACACTCTCTTCGGCTTTTAAGATTCATAGAGCTTTTCGTCGTTCCTCAACATGTCTCCACATGGCCCGCTTCACCTCAAAAAGCTTCTTTCTTTCGACGAAAACCTCCCACCCCCACCCCTTCAACCGCCCGTTTTTCTCGTGTCGTGGCCCGTCAGTCGCACCGGGTGCCGCGCGTGATGGTCATCCGTTGAATGGGCGAAATCTTTGGGAGCTCCTGGTGCAGCAAACCACGGGGTGCTCCACGCAGCGAGGCCGGTGGGGCCGGTGTGGTTCTTGTTTGGGGTCCGTGCCCCGTGCTCCATCCGTAGCAGGACGACAAGCTTGGTTGGATTTCATCACCAAAAAGCTGGTCGTCCTCGTTTTGGTCCAGGTTTGGCGGGTGGGAGATCTTACGAGCTGAGAATGTGAGATGAAAAGCATCTCGTGAACCTTTCTCCACGTGGATCATATAGAGAAACCGTGAGAAACCAGGTTAAAGATTATCCACTGAACTCCTGGGTGGTCTTGTGGTCTTCACATCTAAGTCTTGGAAAGTTCGGCTTGAAAGTTGGTCTGTCTTGCCCAGCCTTCCAAGCCTTTTCAGTCATCTGGGGGCATGCATCCTGAAGAAGATCCAGCCTCCTCCAACTGCAAGATCAAGGAATCCAGCGACTCTTCGATGGCTTTCACCCTGCAGTCTGACCGTCTCTTTTGGAGGCTTCTCTTCGGCAAAGGCGTTGATGAGCTTCTTTGCTCTGATGTGATTCTTTGGAAGACTCCTCTTATTCAAATCTTGGATATTGGATCTTCCTTGGTCATTCCATGGTCATTCCATACTGTCACCGCCCGCTCGGAGTCACGCTCGGCAGGGGACGGGGACGGGACACGGGACGGATCCGGCCTCGATCCCGCTTGGTTCGTTCCGCCCGGTTCCCAGTGGATTGAATCGAAGGGGTTAGAATCCCGAAGAAACCCAATGGCTTTGCTGAGACATTTAGACGCACACATTCTTGGTCAACCAACCTGATTGAATGGTCGAAGTGAAGGCGGGGGCCGGGGCCTCTGCCTCAGCTCCGCGGTTCCACCGGTGTCCAATGAACCGGTCAAGTCGAACCGGTGAAGTCCTGGTGAACCAGTGAACCGGTCAAGTCCTGGAAGTGGCTGGCTCAGAAGTGAGTGTGTCTTGGAATAGGGAGACCTGGCCCTGGCCTGATCTAGCCTGATCTATTTCCGCTTCCGGAAGTGGGAGAGGTCTCCACGGTCGCACTTCTGCGGTCGCACGGTCGTGCGGGAAACGCAGAGGGACTGGGTCGACCGCGCCCCAGCTTGTGGAAGAGGATCTTCACCTCCTTGGCCAAGCGCAGTGCCTGGAGGCCGCTTTTCCACTTTTCGTGGGTCGGAGTAGGTGATTGGGGATAGTGCTGGGTGTGGGGGGGTGTCCCCTTAGCTCCTTAGCTTCCAACACACAGCACAAGTCGTCACAAGTCAAGACACAACCTGACTATATAATTTGTGTATAGGGTCTTGATGCAAAAAATAGATTCAACATTATATATACAATATAATATATCACCCCCCCAAGTACTGAAGAGGTTCTTTCGATCCATCTCTGGGTCTCTGGACAAATCACGTCGGTGGATTCAATTCCCAGATTCCCCAAAAGCACGGAGTGCTTTGCTTCGGCGTTGAACGAAGCCAAGCCAGTCACCTCCTCCTCCTCCTCGCGCCTTGGCGCTGCACCCCTTGGACACCATTCCGGCCAACGCCGTGCGCCTCGGGACTCCACTCCGAATCCCAAACCACGGGCGAAGGGCGAAGGGTTGCGCGCGGACCGCGCGCGTTGCGCGTGGCCAACCTGGCGGTGGGGGAGCTTGTAAGTGACCTCTTCAGGAGTGGTGTACCCCTTTTGTGAAGACTCAAGAGCTAGTTATATAAGTGACCTCAGCCAATGGGATCTCAAGTTTGGTCACTGGAAAAGTCCTGAATTGAAAGCTGTCGGACGAGTCGGATATGCGAAAATGCAATGATCCGGTGTCTTTTTTGCGCGAGGATATAACATGGCCTTACAGTAAGCGCATGTGGCGCGGAATCGCATTATCTGGATATATCTAGATATAACGTTTGCTTGGAATCATAATATCCTACAAACAGAATGTCATGGACCATGGATTCCCTCTTTGAGGCTTGGCTGGGACAAACTCCAAGCCACAAATGACCCCCATCCCCATCCTCTCCTCATTCCGGTCACCAGGGCTCACCCGGAACTCGTTCGCCTCGCCCGTTCCGCAGACCGGAGCCGGAACCCGCCGAACCCGGTCGTCGGCGCGGACGAGGGGCAGGGCGTAGGCTTCCAGCTCCTTGTCGCCACAGGAACGGGCCAGGACCACCCCCTGCAGACGGGGAGACGGGAGCAGCGTCGTTCGGGTCGAGCAGGGTGGCAGCGCAGCGCAGCGCAGCTCGGGTCGCGTGGAGCGAGCTTGGTCAGGTGCCATAGAGGCGAGTGCAGGGTGAACATCGTGAAGCTTCTGAAGAGCTTCAAAACGGACGTCCTTCTGAGCGTCAAAACGTGTTCGGCCAATGCAACCAGTGTGGATATTTTTGTGCTCTATGTGCAACCCTTGTTCTTTTTAAACATGTTCAACCGGCTGGTGTCGCACTAAAGTCCATGGAAATAAAAACCATCTATACACATCGGAGTCATCTCAAACTGACTCGTAGAGACTGAGGGTGGCGGTTTCCGGTGTTCGTCACCGCCGAGCCAGACGTAACTGAACCAGGACCCTCGAGCCACCCTTCTGTATTCAACTCAGAACGAGTCAGCAAAGGCGTGTGGTGTCAGCGTTCCGAGTCTTCAGCCCTTCAGCCTTCATTTCTCCCTTCCAAGCGAAGCCCCGCAAACCGGCGCGGCCTCCCGCAGACAGCTCCGCCGTCCGCCCACGACTCGAAGACTCGTTCGGTCTCCACCTGCATCGCAGCCTCGATGCCACCATCGAGGTCGTTCAAGAGGATCTTACCTCGGTCCCGGTGCAATTGCTGACCTTCGCCACCGGAGCCAGACCGGGACCGAGAATGAAGGATCCGACCCGACCCGAGAACGAGACGGTGGTAGGAGCTGGTTTCTTGGAAGGATGTGGACCCTAGGCTTCCGTTCGACCATTTAAAAAAATGGGAAGGACCTGGTTTTTGTAGTGTAAAATCCTTAGTTGATTCGGTAAAGCCTAGGGTGTGGGTCCCTGAGTCACTGAGTCCCTGAGCTGAGCTCCATGGAAAGGTGAAGCAATGGAATTCTCGGTGATGACTGGTGCTGAAAGTGGTGGGAGAGGCAGCACCTACGCGTGAGCTGCACATCAACAGGCGCACCTTCCGTTTGTCTTGACAATGATCTGCAAGACAAATGAAAAAGGGGTCTACACATCACCATTCAGTTCATCTGATTCCAGGCAGTGATTCAAAGCTCCTGCACATCACCCATGAATCCTCTCGTTTGAAGGTCTACACCATGCACACCCATTCGTCATCCCATGTAATGCCGAATGGTCTCGCAGTGAGCCGGCGAATATCTAAAAAAAGGTTCTCACCCGTTCGAGGACGTGTGTGAATCACGAACCCATTTGCGCAAAACTACAAAACAATCTGTTCAAAGCACGGAAAGGGTGGTCAACTCCTCTCCTCTGGCTTCGCCCCACACGGTACACGACTAGCTGGATGACACGAGATTGCATAAACATGGATGTGTCTTTAAGGATCACCGAAAGCCGTAAGTTGAACCCCTAAAAAACAAGAAAACAACATGGGGCTCGAGAATCTTGAACATTCCACCAATTCTGGGACTTGCCACACCACTTGACGCCTCGCAGAATACCACCCGTTTGGGGTTGAACCAGTTCCCGTCCCAGCGGCTCTGTGCCGCCACGTTGGACGCGCGACCCTGGCTCCTGGCGGAGACCCGGTCGCTTGGAAGCACCACCCAGAACGGTCCTTGAAGGGGTTTCGGAAGGATTCGGTGTTCCATGCCAGACACCTCAACCGCCAGCTCCCGAGCGCACTGGGCGCTGCCGGACCAAACACAACTACAAACACACAAGCACAAAGACACATCCACAGCGCACAACCACAACGCACAACCACAACACACAACCACAGCACACAACCACAACACACAACCACAGCACACGAAGACAAATGATTGAAATGTCATGGTGGGATCACTCGAAGTAAAGTAATTGTTATCTTTTCTGGTTGTATGCCTTGCTTTGCTTTCCTTTGATGGGGAAACAAACACAGTCTTCGGGTGTAAAACATTGATGTCTGAGCTATCTACAGCACTTGGCAGGTGGCAAATTCCGCAAATGAAAAGTTAACAGGTGAACTAGCACTTGCTTGTTTCTCAAAAAAAGCACGGCTTTTGCGAGCGTTCTCTTACGAACTGGAGTAACTCAACCACTTTTCACCCTTAACCTTCCACTCCTCTGACTGCATCCACGGGCCCCGTGACCGCGTGATTCCATGACCGCGTGACCTGGCCCCGTCAAGCGGTCAGCTCCGCGTCCTCTGGTCACCCAGCACCAAGAAAGCACAACGGGCCTCGGTCCGGCTCAGCAGGGCTCGGGTCCGGAGCTCGGCATCACCCCGAGTCTCTGGGCAGGTCGACGCCACGGCTGAACCCGTTTTCGGACCGAGGACCAGAACCTGTTGTAGATGCTGCAACGTAGGACCAGAACCAAGTACAGCAACATGGACCACCAACAAAACCTGTGGCATGCCAAATGGGGCCCATCATGCTGTGTCATGCCATGAAAATTGTCGCTCTGGCCGAGCAAGTGAGAGAACTGAAGAACGGCACTCCCGGGACGTGCGGCGCGGCGCACGACGAGTAGCGCCTATGCACCGCGGGAGTCGAGGGATGGTCCAAAGGCGAGCCGGGCAAAGAGAAAGCGTGAGAGCTCTGGTCAGGATGAGGTGCTCCCGATGCTCTCCAGGAAGTGTAACAGCCAGCAGTGAAAAAAGGGGTGCGATCCATGGAGGTCAGGGGTGCCCAGCTACTCCACTCACTGGATGGGACCGAACACCACCCCTTTGTGAGTGAGAGTGTGAGAGTGTGAGCGTGAGTGAGAGTGGGAGAGTGAGTGAGTGAGTGTGAGTGAGGTGAGAGTGAGTGTGACTCCTGGAGGAAAAGTTCTCCCAATGCAAAAAAGGAAATCCTTGGCAACGCAGAGCAGCAAGAATTGAGAGAGCAATGACGAAACTGCAGCTGGGCAGAGTCTTTTGACCATCCCACAGGCCGTCGTCAGATCTGGCGAAAAACGCGAAGACTTAGCTCATCCATGTCTTTCCGAACAAACAAATCTTCATGCCCCACACTTCCTGCCAACCACGATCCTTTACAATAAATGCTATGTGTGTTAATAACTCAAAGCATATTGAAAATCGTAGGTTTATTGTAGGTTTTATGGTACTTATTGAATTGCCAGTCACCACCAACAAGCCCAACCGCTCCAACCGCGACTCTCGCCTGCTCGGCCAGGCCAGCAGCTTCTGATCGGCTCTGAAAGACCTCGACCAAAGGACCTCGGCGGAGTGCCCGGCGGAATGGCGGAGTGAACGGCGGAGTGAGTTACGTGACCCTAGGGCTCCAAGGTGTTTGGAGTGGGTTTAAAGGGTCCAAATACCCTTCTGAGAAGGTATTTGGAGCCCTAGGGTGAGTTACTTTACCAAAAAACATGTATAAAAAAGCGATGCGACGGGTTTGGTCGTTTGGAAGAGTTTTGAAGTGAAGTGAACTGTTGTCATCACCGATGGATTCACCAACATGGGATGCTGAAAGAGACAACACTTCTCCATGAGACTCACCTTTTGAACATAAACCTACCAGCAGTCACAAAGGGGTGCTTAATGGAGGTTCGGGGTGCCCATTATCCACTCACTTGGGGACTAAACACCACCCCTTTGTGACTCCTGGTATATGACCCATATGTTGCCCATATGTATGAAGGTACGGGGCGCTAGCGAGCAGCAAAATTTGGCAGGCTCATGAGGCACCATGGGGGAAGCCTTTTCAACTGAGTTGCTGTCCATGAATTGGTAAAAAACGAGCAAATCTTCCCCAGTTTGAACGCAGGAACCGGTTTACTTAAACCATCACCCAAAGCAAAGCCAAAGAAAAAATGGATTCGTGCCAAAACTGGGAGAATTGGTAGAAGGAGGTAAACGAAAACCGATATGGAAGCGAACGTTGGACCCGCACGCCACTGGAAACTTCGAAGTCCGACTTCGAGTTCAAAAGGAACTTGCGCAATCCATCTACTTGCGCAATCCATCTTATTTTTGCATCGTTTCTAAACAAGGCGCCCAAACAGACTTATGATGCAAAAATGTTCATATTGCATCATTTGCATCACGAGCTCACCAACAATTACATATCCCACACAAAAAATTAACATGAGTAGGCTGATCAAAAAACACCCCTTAATTTCTCACTTCAATCGCCTCAAAAGCTTCAGCCTACCCTATCACTGGCTTTCGTAAAAAGTAAAATCCTCCGGCCCCTAAATGTAGGGAAGCAAGCCTGAAAGCAGCTCTGATCAAACTCATCCATCTTCCACAACACAGTTCCCAAGAGTTTTGGACTTCCACATCTATCCCTGTTTGATGTTTCTGCGACGAACAAATCCACATGCATGCGCGACGCCCGTGGAAGTGGCGATGGTAAGGCAGGAATTCTTCCGGAGTGCCTTCGGCAATCTCCCTACAAGTATGAGACTGGCCGTGAATCAGTTAGGATTTGTGCAACGGTGCAAAAAACACCATTGCCATCTCATGTGTCAGGATTTGTTGGAAAACATGCCAGGACCATCCAATAGGTCCAAGGGGTGTCCGGTTTCGCCCAGGTGTGTATGGTAGGGCAGTCCATTGGAGACCCTGACAGGATGGTTCAGGTACTCATCATCGTTTACCAGTAACAGTGGATGATGATGCTTAGTAAAGGCCTTTCTAAAATAGAATAGTGATAAATAGTGATAATTGTTCACCAACTGTTACAGGTAAGAGGGCAGACTCGAACCATACTCATTGTGGACCACAACTCCTCACTCATGTGGCTGTGGGTCAACACCTGGAGCCCCTGTCATCCTGGTTGACATCCCGAAGACAAGAGCAATCAGTTCATTTGATCCGCGGTCAACCGGTAGGTGCCAGGGTGCCACCCACAGCCATCTGAGTGTCCGGAAACGCCAAAACCTGTGAGGCCCACCTTCGTAGGCCAACAAAGCCGTGGCAAGTTGCAGCTTCGCAGTGGCCTGAAGCGCTGGTGGTCTGGTGGTCGTGAGTGGGAAATCACTCTCCAGAGTGGAGCACGAGTCCCAGAAGGTTTCAGAGAACTTCTGCAGGAAACCCATAGTGTTGCGAGAGTGAGAAAACCATGGTTTCCTATGAATTTGTTGCTTTGACTAATCCATTGAAGAATCACAAGGACATGAGTGACATGAGTGACATGGGTGACATATGGACTTGGACGGAAGGTTAAAGGACAAAGGAATCTCGGCATCCTTGGGGATACGCCTAGGAATGCTCCAAAAAACCAAAGCCCACCCATGATGGTGAGGAAAAGGACGACCGTTAAAAATCAGTCTGCGCCCCCAGCCTTGGATTTCACAGGAGGATTGGACACAATCGATATGTTGGGTGCTTTTCGCTGGTTGCTTCAGAAAGAGGTTCGAGGTCCCTCTAGTCAAAGACCCTTAGCTCCTTAGCTAGCTCCTTCCTCGCTGTTGAGCATTCGCGGCGCTACGCCTCCCATGACATCCCCAGCCACCACCCGCAGCGCCTCGCCACCTGCATCCTTTGCGGCGCTGAAGAGAGGCACCGCCTCTACGCGGCCAACGGTGCCAGAGGTGCTTCCATCGAATGGATTGACTGGAAAAGATGTGCTTTCGAAGATGCGGCTTTTTCTTGGTTCCTTTTGCAACCCTCTTCAGAGGACTGGGCGCCCTGGGCGCCCAGACTTCACCATCTCAACGGAGGATTCGATGGGGGGGGACCGAGGCGGAAGGACCTTCGACGAAGGGTGTGTGTAATAATTGCAATAGGGGTCTCCCGACCAGGGCAAAGGGGAATAGACCGCGACCTATTGAACTGTAGAGGGGGTGTTGGTGACCTCCCTATTTCAATACACACCCAAATCATCCCAAATCACAAAAAATCGAGCATCAATGTCTTCAGACCCCGGACATGACCTACGGTTTTGAGAGAAAGTCTATTTTGGGGGGCTGATTCTTCTGGAGCTACACTCCTGAAAACGATTCATGTCTTTTCGTTTTCATCAGTGGTTTTCAGGGTCTACTTGTGTTCGTTTTCAGTGGGGTATGTTCTTATATGTTCTTATTGTTCTGGTCATTTCCCCCAAGCAGTTCTGGGTGGGTGGGGAACTGGCAGACCGACCGGGTAGGACCTACCCGTGGCACCGGTCGTTTGCGTCTCATGGTTTTGACCCATCCGGTGGACCATCCCACAGACCATAGACTATTCCATAGGTTATTCAGGTCACTTGACCTCTTTTGGAACCTCTAATGTGGACTCCGGATTAGTAAACCCTTGCCATTTGAATTGGACATCCTCTTCAGAGACCGGGGGGTGAGTCTGGTCCTCGCTTGAGTCGACTTCCTCGGCCTGTCGGAGCAGCTCACACGCTTCCTTCGAGGCGGCCTCGCCGAGCACCAAGCGGTCCCGCGCACCGCGCAACGTCCCCAAAAACATGGGCGACGGAGGTCCGAGGAGGTCCGGAGGAGGTCCGGAGGAGGTCCGGAGGAGGTTGGAAGTCTGGCCGCCGAAGTCGCACGTGGATCTGTCAAAAAAGAACACCGCTGGCGCTTCAAAAGCACAACTGGAGCTTCACACACATCGCAAACCAATTTCTGGTGAAGCCCTCACTGTCTCGAGCCGTTTCGTCCCACAATGGACCGGTCGTGCCGGGGCTCCACACCGCACCGGCTGCGGTGCAGAGGGCCAGCGCCCGCGCAGCGCCAGCTGGAAGCGGGAGGGCACGGACACCCCGAATCACCTCTAAGGGGCTATCAATAGACACCCCGAACAGCGGGTCCTGGGAGTGTTGTGGGGGGTGTGTTTGTTTGGTGCCAAACAAGGGTCGAACTGGACTTCTATAGGGTTTTGGTGTATCAAGGTGGGAAAGAAACAAAGTTCGGCCCATGAGAAGGGAAAACATGGCCGAAGATCCAGATGGCTGAAGATCGGCCTTCCTCGTTCTGATTGTAAAAAAAACACGGCGATGTCTCTTTCTTTATGTCTGTTCTGCCGCGAGGCACGGCATGGCTCCGAATTGGCCTGGCTCCGAAAGGGATGATGACCATGTTCCGAAGACCAAACAGGTCCGGTCGAGTGCATCCACTTCGACCGGTTCCCAGAAAGACGTGCCGTCCTTCGACCGTTAGGTCCACGTTGTCGCACCCGTAGGTCCACAGGTCGAGTGCATCCACAAGTCGGATGCTCGCCAGCCATTCACTATCTGTGTGCTCTCTCTCTCTCTAGCAAGTATGCTCTGGCATGCTTGGAGTGAAAAGAAGCTGCCGTCGTGGTGTCTATGTGGTGTCCACCGTTCCCATGCCTTAAGCCTCGATCCGATCGAGTCACTTTCAGAAGATCCCAAAGAACCTCGAATGATACCGTTCGCACTTCCTGTCTGGGTGCCCTGTCTGGAGGAGACCTATTCTTGTCCAGCCAGGTGACCTGTTGTTTTTAAGCAGCCAGGTAACCTAAATGGCGATTTCGAAGTCACCTGGTCTAGTACCCTCACAATTCTACTCGCACCCCAAAGCTTCTGGCAGAAAACCACATAAATAGAACTCTCACTTTTGAAATGGACTCTACTGTAGCATTCATCTCTGGGTTCAGTGGGGAAAAAAGGCGTCGATATGCTGCTCACTCTCTAGGAATTACTCAGCACAGCGCACCGAGCTCACCCGCAGGAGACGCGAGCGAAGGAGACGAACGGACGGGTCTGACTCGGACCTCACGTCGCGCTGCTCGTGTTCGGGCCCCGACTCAAGAGCTTCGCAGCATCCTTGGCCAAAGCCAAGGCCTGAACCGGGCACCATCAATACCACAAACGAACCAGAGGCGACCGGAGGACGCGCACCTGTTGGGTTGGACGGTTTTTCATTCCGAGTTCCGTGGTCGGTGTGCGTACCTGTTGGAGCACCCAGCTGGATTGAAGACGCCGAGCTCACATGAGTTCACAGAAAGCGTAGATCTGGCCAATAGATCTGGCCGTAGAAGGGTTCTCATGCTTCTTCGGCAGGATTGATACTCTTTTAGGTCTTCCTGTTATGGAGTGAAATCGGTGGAAAAAGTCTGCATGTCTTCTCGTCAGTCGTGTGATGTTCCGGTGGAACAAAGGGACGAATCTTAACAGCCTTAGCAAAACTTGAAAAATTACCTAAGTCTCCGATGAAGTAGTCATGGGCAACTGAACCCTACAGGTTAGGTTGACCTCATTTTATTGGAGTTGATCCTACAAAAACACTGCTGTCTTTTTTCACCTCCGTACATGCTTCCAAACTTCCCGCCGAGCCCAGAGAAAAAAACCAGACGCAAGACACCGGAGAGGGCGCCCAGTGCTTCATTGACACCCAGGTGATGTTTGAGGATGATCTTCAATGTGATTGGACGCCCAAAACCCGGGCTACGAGAGAACAAGTGGGTGGGCTCCCTGGCACCGTTCGGCCGGACCTGACCATGTCGCTCTCGGGGCGAAGCGGTGAGTCGAAGCGAAACCTCATGGGTCCATCCAACAGGAAGTGACAACAAATCCCTAGACTTCCGTTCGACCATTAAAACAATGGTTGACCTGGTTTTTGTAGTGTAAAATCCTTAGTTGATTGGGTAAAGCCTATTAAATTAATGGTTGTTGGAAGCCTAGGGAAATGATTTCAAGCAAAGAAAGGTGTTCCCTTTGAAGGGATCGGACGTCTTCATTTCGCTCTATATGTTGGGTATATCGAATTACCAGGGCCCAGTGGAGGATGAGGGTTTGTTTGGCCGACATCTCACAAATCGTGAATCTTTTACCAACTGTTGCTGGTAATGGGCCACACCCTAGCTCTATGGCACACTGTGGTTCTGATGCGTAATTATCCTTTTGCGTTCCCTGTTGGCGTTCTGATGCATCACAGGTTCGTGGTCCTACGTAGAACTTCCACTGACTGAAAACAACCCCTATCCGGATAGTCAAAAGCACACCACTGCCACTACCGGGCTAAAATCAAAAATATCGAGTCCTTTTACACTTCGTGGTCTTTTACACTTTGTGGTCTTTCCGCGACCGAGCCCCCGCTACGGGGCCCTTTTTTTCGTCCTTTCGTGTCCTGCAACGTGTCGGGGCCACCGTGGTCGGCCTCGGTCGTCTCACCCGACGCCAACATCGCACTGGCCACCGCATGGGCTGCACGCCCGGCCGCCGGCCTTAGAGTCCAAACCCGAGCGCCACTCGCCCTGGTGGGGCCTGGTAAGGTCGATGGGTGATTTGAGCGCTGTGTGTTGGTCAAACAAAAATGGGATCTGGTTGCTGAAAGAAGACCTCCTTGGCTTCAGGCCACCCCGAGTGAAACACGAGACCTGTTTCGACATTCCATGGAGAGTCTCGACGGTTTCCACCAAGAAGTCGGAGCGGAGAATCCAACATCATCTTGCAAGTGTGTCCAGAATTCACCAGGCCCCATGTCTTGACCTCACAGAGACCTCGTCCTCTTCTCTCAAAATCCCGTCACTCATCAACTCTCCCAGCCTGGTGGTGAATTTATCTGACTTCCTACACATAAACCTGTACCAGTTCAACTGTACCTTATATTGAATTGGACCTAAATTGACTGTACACATAAACCTGTACCTTTGGAAATTATGACTTCATTGAATAGTCCAGTTGAACTGTACCTGTCCTTTGTGCACCGAAGGAAAATCCCGAAATCAGGTCCCCTACTAGCTACTCAGTCAGGCCATACTCCTAGTCACTAGTCCTTGACTCCCAGGGTGTACAGGTGGAGGTTTCAATCAGGAGTCCAAACGGAAGTTCCGATGCCTTGTCCTCTCTCCACCTCATCCTCTCTCCCCTCTTCGAAGGCTTCAGCGGCTCGTCTTGCAACTTCTTCGCCAACGTCTGGGCCTGCCACTTCAGCGACCGAAGATGAAGACCAACAAAAGGGTCTAAAAGAAAGAAGCCAAGGCCCAGAGGACTGGAGAAGGGGTGTACTCACACTGGTGAGTCGAGTACACCGAGTATGCTCTTCCCTAGGCTTCCAACAACCATTAATTCAATAAGCTTTACCGAATCAACTAAGGATTTTACACTGCAAAAACCAGGTCAACCATCTTTTAAATGGTCTTGGAAGCCTAGGGCTTATCTCATTGTGAAATAGAAGCTGGATTGGAATGAGCATCTCCAGCAATTGGTTTCTCTTGTCTGCATCTTTCTCTCCAGCCCCTCTTCGTGTTTCTGCACCGCAGCCCATGGCGAAAACAAAATAACACCGGTCTCATGAAAATAAATTCTAGGCTGTTTCTGAGGAGTGAAATTGATTCCCGACCCCCACTTTTTCAAAGGAAAAGTATATACCGGCATAGACCTCAAACAGCTTAGTAGAACGGTTTGGTGAAAAGAACACCCTGAAAACTTCGGGCCTCGGCTGCCCTGGTCTTGGCCAACTCCTTCTGATGCCCCCGTAGGTGCAAGGCGCTCAGGGTCGTCAGCAGCTCCACCTTCGAAGGGTCACGGTCCGCAGCGGCGTCGTGGATGGGCCGAAGAAGGTGGCAAGTCTCAGGGAGGCCATGCTCCGTGGCCCGTGAGAGGTCCTTTGTCCCAGAAATGGTTGGTTTAAGAGGTCTCTGAGGCAAGGCCTCCAGGTCGAAGCGAAAACCCCGGCTTCCTCTCCAGACACCGCTCCGCGTGAACCGCGCGACTCGCGCGGTTCGCGCGTCGCGAAGCGGTGGTTTCCCGGTTTCTCGACCCGTCGAGAGCCCAAGGACCGGTCTTGGAGCCGGTCGGCCTTCCACTTGGACAGTGTAGCGATCTGATGAAGACACAGGGTCCGAACTTGAAGGCGTAGGTAGGCTCTCAATCTCCAGATCTCCAACATCTGTTCCGGGTTCCGCGTCACATCCGAAGCTACGTGTTCTTTTTTCAGCTTTCTCTTCTTCCTCCTAAAGCCCATCGAATTTCTATAGTGAAAGCAGGTCCGTCAACCCATCCATGGCCTGGCCTGGCTGCTCTCATCTCCCAAGGAGCGGCTAATCTTCAAAGCCTTTCAGGATGAGTTCACAGAGCAGGATTCGTTCCGGAGCCTCCTTGAACTCACTTGCTGATTTGTTCTCTTGCGCAAAGGATTATGAATCATGTGTGAAGGTGATAATTCTTGGAGTTCAGTTTTTGTCTTCTTGTCTTGTTGTCTTTGTGATGTTTGTTTGAAAGTAATAAGAGTGCTCGCTGAAACTGAGGTGTTTCTGTGATGCTCAAAATGCTAGCTTGAAAGCGCTGCATGCTTAGCACTTTCCAAGAAGTCCAAAGACCAAAGATACTCTTCGTGAAAGTTCCCGTCTGGATCAGGTCCCTCAAAGCAGTCTCTGTAGAGTCGGGTGACTCCCAGAAGGTCCTCTTTTGGACGAAAGGGTAAAGATGATCCACTTTGATATCTGGACCTTGATGTGCATCAAAATGAAGGTTTAAAATGGTGTAGGTTGATTGATATCTATTTTATGATATATGTATATATTATATAATTAGGTCGTTCTGTTCAACTGTCACCTTCATCCTCTACCTTGTATTAAAGATGATGGTTCAAAATGGTGGGCTTCCCACCTCCTCGACTTTGGACTTGTCGCCCGTCGCCAGGGCAGCCTTGTCGCGATCTCGAGCAGAAAAGCTCGCGGCACATCGCACCAAACAGTTTCGGGTTACGGGCGATGGGATCAAGAAGGATCGGTCAACAGCAAAGCGGCGAAGGAGAAAATCTGTAGAATTGAAAACGGCAGAGTCGTGTATCATGTCCTTCTTTATTTGGTACTAGACTTCCAAGACCATTAAAACAATGGTTGACCTGGTTTTTGTAGTGGAAAATCCTTAGTTGAGTCGGGATGACCCGCCTATTAAATTCATGGTGGTTGTTGGAAGCCTAGGCTAAGAGTTCTGACCAAGTCCGCGAAACGGCCCGTGGTGAACGGGAAGCCGCTCTGGAACCGAAAAGGCGCGGAACGGAACTGGGAGGACCAGCCGAGCGGAGCCGAGGCTTCTGAAAACGAGATACGTCTGGGCCCCTGGAATCATCGCCAACGTCGTTCGACTCGGATCAGCCTGAAAACCACCAGTTTCACGTGCAGGTGCAGGTGGTGGTGGTGGTGGTGGTGGTGGTGGTGGTACCTGTCCCAGGTATCCAGACACAAGACCTAATAGGTTTGTTTTATGGGTCTCCAAATGCCTGAAGTGTCTTGCCTACACTACTCATACCAGGACCATCCTATCTGGGTGTCCTGGGCATAGTCCAGCCAGGACACCCAGATCTTATAGGTCTCCAGACACGGCACCCAGATGGTCCTGGTTTGCTCAGCTCCGTCACATCGATTGATCTCTGGTCTCTTTTTTTTCCGGCGGCGGCGTTCTCCTCACCAGTTGTTTTGTTACGATGAGGTTTTGCTGCGCTTTTGAGTATTGGCCGACTCTGAGAAGAAGAAAGTGCTACCTAGATGAAGTCACAAATATGTTCTCATCTCATGAGAGAAAAAAGGAATGCAATCTCCTAAGCTTCGTGTTTCATGCTCAACCCGCTTCTTTGTTGGCTAGATCAGACCCAACAGTATTTTTCTTGAGGAAAACCCCCCCCCCGTCTCTCCATCTGCTTCACGTCCCACCCGGGACGCTCCCCTCCTCGTCCCCGAGACGACGCTCGTGCGGCGCGTCGTGCGGCGCGCCGTGTGCAGTGCGGAGAGGGTGCCCTTCTGATCCCCGGCCTTGACCGGTCGACGTGGCACGACGTTTCGCACGAAACGGCGAAACGGTCGACGTGGGACGGATGACGAGGATGGAGGTGGTGAAGCATCCAGGGCGAAAGCCAAGGGGATCTATACCAGGGCCCCCCCCGGTGTTTGGGGTGGTAGACATGGACATCCTGAATTAGCCTCTAAAGAGCTATAATTGGACACCTCTGGGGGGGGGGGCCTGGTATATGTTCTGGGAGTTCCAGGAAAGACTCTATTCTTTGAAAAGGGTCTGACGGATTCAGAAAAAAGAAAGTAGAAAAACGAAAGGATGCGCAGGATGGTCGCGCCCCCCCAAAATCCTGTTGACCACCTTGTTGGAGGTGTGAATTTGGTGTTCTTTCAAGGTACGGCGCCACACCCGCGGTGGTGCGTCACGGCCACGTGGTGGTTTGCCCCACCACCTGCTTGATGTGAAATCCCACGTTGGATCCGAGACGACGGGGGCGGCCGGTGCTGGGAGTGTCATCTGGCCACGTACCAGGACCTGAGCCCTTCGTGACCTCTTTGGAATCTGTAAGTGAACTCTAAAAATGGACTAAGTGACCTCATACTGGGATCTGTTCGGTCACTTAGGTCAGGTCCTGGTACCTTGGGGTATGATATCCTACCGCCCGACCTCCGGAGGATGCTGATGCTTCGGTTGGAGGCCGACCTCCCGTACCGTACCCACCGTACCCATGAGATGCGTCACTCTGCAGAACTCCGTGTTGGTGAGGCACCCAGTGATACACCTTGTGAGATGCCAAGCATGTTGCCTTGGTGGTTAACCTATATCATTACTGCTTGACCGAGCATGACACCCCTCACTTCCAATGGAACCCCCCCCGCCCATGGCGGACCGGCCATCGTTCGTTCGCGGTCGTTCGGTGCGCGGTGCACGCGTCGCCTGCTGTAGGAGCTCCAAGGCCTCCTTGGAGGACTCCAGCGCCTGGCCCGTCAGTCGCATAGGCACCGGTTGCGGAGGTCAGAGCCGATGGCACCGAACCCGCGGCGTTGCGGAGGAGGGGATCCTGAGGTTGCACCGGTCGTGCAGCGTTGGAGCCGACCAGTTGAAAAGGATGAAAAAAGATAAAAAGGATGACTTCCTCCGCCCAGTTGAGAATTCCTGGAAGGATTCGGAGTAGAGGCAGGTGATCCAGAGTTTTTGCGGGCTTCCTTGTGGGGGGGTTGTCACAACAGGGCAGTCCATTGGGCTGTTTTCCTTTCCTCCTAACTTGCTTCGGAGGACGAAATGCTTGGGTATCGAGGAGTTCGGGGAGAGGACATGAGTTCATCAAATGGAGCTTCGCTGGTGTGGTGTAGGACTTCACTCGATCCCCACATGTGCGGTCCTAAGTATATATACTCCCTAGCCCTTCTCAGGCTCCAGGTAAGTACCCTCTGAGGTTTGGTGGGACTGGGGGCCCGGGTGCCAGGAGGGTCCAAAGATCTTTTGAGGAGATACTTGGAGCCTTAGAGACATTGAAACTCATGTCATCAGGCGAAAAGCAACGACTGCCTCCTACCCAAACGAAACTGACTTCACCAGGTGGTACCACCCCTTCCAGCCGAAAGTACCATTCCTTCAAATGTCCGAACTCGGGGCGATTGAGAGGTTGGGGGGGCAGGTACCATAGACCCGCGGGGGGGCAGTAGAGCTTTCAGGCCCGCAATCAGGGTCAGGCCATGACCCCCACCTCCCCTCTCACATCTGCTTCACCCACCTCTTTCGAAGCAGACTCCAACAGCTGCTCGGCCATCTTCTGCAGGGCTTGGCCCTGCGGCGAGTCGCGGGTGATGTGCTGTGCCCGAAAAAAGGGGCCCGCGCCAGCTTCCACACCTGTTCCACACCTGCGCAAACCAAAGAAATGCTAGTGTCTCGTCCCATCTTCCGGGGCCGTGGATGTGACGTTCGGGCACCTGTAACCTCCATGGATAGCACCCCTTTGGAACTGCTGGATTGCGAATATGAAATATGCCATGGATTCCAAATCCAGCTAAATTGGCTGCTGAAGTGTTTGTTCACGAACAAGGGGAAAAAGATGAAGAAATTTACACAACCCCGGTGAGACCCTCTTTTCGCGACCCCAAAAGAAGGTGACTTGCTGGGTGGTTGCCACCAGCATCTTACGAGCTGAGGCGGACCACCCGCGGACGGTGTCCGTGCCTGGCCCAACTTGTCGCTTTTGCTCTTGCAGTAGGCGGCACGTTCTTGGTAGACCTCGTGACCAGGCGACGGACCGAGGTTCTCGTGGGCCATCAGCGAACGTGCCAGGCCGTAGGGAGCTCCGTTCCCGAAAAACCGCGATGACCATCCTGCAGCTTCTGGGAACAGAGAGTGCACTGGTCATTTGACCGTCAGAGGTTGGAAAAGAAACCAACTGTTCAGACATGACAATCAGAGCTTTGCCACATGCGTGCATTGGAAAAGAGGGAGGTCCCCCAACGATCCCAACGAGTAGACTGGTCTGTTTCCAATGTCTTTCAGGGGATCTTGCCTGGGAGGTCTCCCACCTTCCAAAGACCCTTTAAAAGAATGGGAACGACCTGGCGTTGTAAAATCCTTAGCAAAACCGGGACTGCGATGACTCGGCTATTCAAAGAACGGTGGGCCAGGAAGGGCTTAGACCCAACGGAGTTCTTTTTCGAAGAGCCGAACACGCTGGAGCCCACCCCCGCGGCTCCAGCGCCCGTGGCAAGAGCGCGCCAGGGCCCCGAGCACTGGCCGTGGACGTCGAGGTGTCTTTCAGGGTGCAAATCTCCAACAGGGTCGCCCTGGGCGCCGTGGGCGAGGCCTGGGCGCCTCATCGGACATTTTTAGCGTCTTGGAAGACATTCGAAGATCAAACACCACTGTTTGGTGGTCACGATTTTTCGTGTTAAGGGGGGTACAATGGAGTCATCACTGGACCTCCAGGGTTTAGAGAAGCTGTGTTTCTTTCATCCAATCTTTCGATTTGGCCCTGCGCATCGAAAGCTTTGAATGTGCAAAGACTCCTCTTTTGCTCATGGCTGCGCGTCCAATTCCATGCTTTTCACACTTCATCGATCGAAGTTCCAACAAACGATCACCCAAGATCACCCGAGTCATTTCCTATGATGTTATCCTTACACTCGGACTCACTAACATGGAAGTGGAAAAAACCTTGTTCCAAGGGACCATTGTCCACTTCCCTGTTAGTGAGTCAGAGTGTAATTTATTATGAACATGGTGTTATGATTAGGTCCATTGTAATGATCCAATGAAAAACTCTATGATCCTCAGGCGATCTTGTTTCTTATCATGTTCTGAAATCATTAAGGATGTTTCCCCATGAAAAATTTGTGGATCTTATCCTGAATGTTGAGATGGTGGAAACATCCTCTCCGGGTCCCAAGTGACAGAATCTGGCTGCACCAGCCGAACACTTACTCATTCTCTCGAGCACGTGGAAGTGGCATGATCCTTTGGAAGACTCAAAATTGCTCTACGAACAGGGGTTGAACTCAGGTGAACTCCACTTCCGCCACAACCGCTCAACCGCTGCTGCGTGATCTCTTCGTCCTCTTCAAACCGCGGCACTCGGCGGCCCTGCCCCCAACGGCGCGCTCGACTTACCCGCGACGGAGCTGGGCGCCCTGGACTCGGCGGCTTCTTCACCCTCGGGGTCCTTGATCCTGGGCGAAAAAGCCCGGACGTTCAGCTGCCGGAGGGTGGAGGGTGGCGTCTGTAAGAAAGAGATGCGTCTCAAACTTCGTGGAAGGGTGTCTTCACTTCGTGGAAGGATGTCTTCACTTCGTGGAAGGGTGTCTTCACTTCGTGGAAGGGTGTCT